AGCCTGTCTACAGGAGACCCTGTCTCAAAATCCTAAATGAAAAATAGTCTTTACCTAGTTCTAAATCTCAAAGGGATTCTCCTGTGTGTCTGCCAGTGTTTGTTCTCTATTTAAACCGGATCCACCTGAAGCGTGAGACTTACATGGAAGGACTTGGGTTTGTTTTGTTAGTTGCTCTAAGATGCTCAGTGTCTGGCACCTGTGAGGCAGGCTGCCATCCTCCCCGGAGGCAATTTCCACCAGTTCAATCCCATAACTTACTATAATGTACACGCAGCCTGATGGATACTGAGCTAATGGAGGAAAGTGTATCTGTCAAAAGCATGCTTAAGGTTTCTTTTCCCTTTCTTCCCTCATCCCTCTTCCAATCTTCATGTGTGCATGTCCTTGTGGGAAAGCATGTACATGCGCATGCCTGTGTGCAGGTACCTGTGTACACGTGTGTGTGGGAGACAGAGCTCACTGTCACTCCTCTGGTGCTGTCCACTTTTCTGAGACAGCACCTCTCACTGGCCTGGGGCTTGCTGGTAGAGCTAGGCTGGCTGCCGCCCAGACTCAGACCTGTCTCTATGTCCAGAGTGCTGGGCCACCACACCCAGTTCTGTTTATTGTTTGGTTGGGTTTTTTTGAGACAGATTTCTCTGTGTAGCCTTGGCTGTCCTGGAACTCACTGTGTAAATCGAGTTGGCCTTAAATTCACAGAGATCTGCCTGTCTCTGCCACCTGAGTGCTGGGATCAAAGGCGTGTGCCACTAGGCCTGACCTTTTTTTTTTTTCTTTTTTAACATGAGCTCTAGGGTATTGAACTTGGGTCTTCATTACTGACAGAGCTATCCTCCCACGTATCTGTCAGGGTGGAGCCTTGTCAATTCACAGCAAACACAGAATTGGTTCTGCCCTCTGGGGCAGGCTGCCATTCCATGGTTGAGGTCCGTTGTGGCCAGAAGAGGGATGAGTGGGCTTCTGCTAGGCAGAAGGACATTTGGCCAGGGCTGTTTAAGGTGAGATAGCCGGGAACCAACCCTTGGAGGAGGCAACCTCACAGTTGAGGCGATATGCAAAGGAGAGACTACATACGGGGGTGAGCAAGCACACACACGAGCTGGCAAGGAGAGCGCCACCCAGAAGGAAAGGGTTGGAAATCTAGGAGAGCCATGCAGGGTAGACTGAATGCCAGGAGTTGAAGAGGCAGCTGAGCCTAGCGGACCGCAGCTGTGAGTCCAGGCTTAGCTCAGAAACTGGAGTCGGTGCACGGGTGATAACATCCAATTTATGGCCTGAGTTTTCTCCACACCGGGCTGGCCTCTGCACCTGTTTATCCACATTAATGAGCCAGAACAGAAACTAGCCAGCTTGTGGGTGGCCATGGAGGACCTAGGCCAGGGCTGTTCGCCATAACTCACTGCATCATAGGTTCCCCTTGGCTCAGCCCCACTGTCTCTTCCCAAAGAATAAGAATTGCTGGGCTGGCCAGAGCAGGACGCTGAGTGGGTCAGCCAGGCTGGGGGAGGGCTGAAGAGCCGGCGTGAAGTGATGGATACAGTGGGGCACTGGGAAGATGGCTGTTCTCTGGGAGCAGCCTCTTGGGGTAGATATTTCCAGATTACGCACACAGTGTCGTTAGAAACACAGCTATAAATTAGGTTGCTCAGAGGCATGGGGTGTGTAATAATTAAGTAATAAAAGCCGCCACAGGGGTACTGGAGGCAGGAACAAAGAGCCACTGTCTGTCTAGGCGAATCAAAGCTTTGGACCTCAGCTCAAATAGAATCCAGCTTAGCAGACTCCCCAGGTCCTGTCAAGGTACAGTAGGCTGAGGGAGTGAGGGAGTGGGTAGATATTTAGGATCCAGACTAACTCTGGTTGCTTTGGGGGCCACCCCAGCTGACTCATCAAAGGAGCCTGTGCCAGGACAGCAAAGAAAGCTGAGACCTGGAGCTGCCGGGCTGCTGGGACTTAGTGCCAGCCAGTTACACCAACTGGGAATGTGGGCCTATGTAGTCAGAACTTACACCCTTTCACAATAATCTAAAAGGTTGTTTTGCAATTGTTGGCTGTGCTGTTTGTGTGTAGGGGTGTGTGCATGCATGTGGAAGTCAGGGGTCAGCTGTGGGTGTTGGAGGTCAACTGTGGTGTCACACCTCAGATGTCTACCAGGGTCTCTCACTGGCCTACCACTTGCCAAGGCTGGACAGTGAGCCCCGGAATGTGCTGGTCTCTGCCACCCCGGTGCTAGGATCACCAGGGCATACCTCCACACTGGGCTGCTTTCACAAAGATTCTGGGGATTGGAGTCAGGTCACCATGCTTACGCAGCAACTATACAGACTAGACCAAACAAATCCATGGGCAGAGGTTTGCAGCCAGTGGACTTGCTGGGCAGTTCAGGGCTTGCTTCTCCTCTCGCGGTCTACCTACTCATCCTCCAGTCTGGGCAGAAAGGTTCCTGTTTGAGCTGCTCCTGACACCCTTCCTCGCTGCTTTGGAAAACTATCAGCACTATAACTGTCGAAACAGGTGTCTGTCACAGTTTCCTGGGCCCTGGAGGTGTGAGTCTCAGGAGTGAGAGAATCCCTGAATTACTGTGTATAGTGTTTCTGGCTCTGGCTTCAATTCAGGCCCAGGCAGCATTTCCCTTAGCATTTCCCAGGGCATCTTAACAAGTTGCCACAAATAGGGGTGAGGGAGGTCAGGGAAGAAGGTGGGAGCATCATGAAGGATGAACATCATGAAACCAGGTTCTCAAAGCTCTGGAGGCCTGATCCTGGGGAGTCACCTTTCCAAGTGTCTGTGGCCCTAGGGGACTCCGGCTTGCTTTCCGGGTGGCTGGAGGATGATTGTACTGGATAACAATGGTCTGGAGGGCTGGTCACCTGGTCCTTCCCCAAGCACATGTAGCAGAAGATGCCCACACCTCCCAGGGCATGGCTTCTGGAACAGTCTCTGTTGGCCACTGCTAGCAAGGTTAAAATGACCATTTATTTGTTTTGTGGTGCAGGGGCTCAGACCCAGGACCTCACACATGCCAGGCAAGCACTCTATCATTGAAATATCCCTAACTCAGAGTACGTTTATGCCATGACTGTTTTGCCACAGTGGTGGTAGTAGCAGCAGTGATGACAAAATAACAAAAAGACCAAAACAACAACAGCAACAACAACAAAAACCAAGGTAACTGACACACAACCTTTAAAGGGGTTTGGGATTTAGCTCAGTGGTAGAGCGTTTGGCTAGCAAGTTCAAGGCCTTGGGTTCAGTCCTCAGCTCTGGGAAAAAAACAAAGACCAAATAATAATAAATAACAACAGGGGTTAGCCATTCTGAACTGAGGCTGAGGTGACCCATCCACCAGGAATTTCCTAATTGCTTTCTAGTCATTTCAGCCGCTGCTAATGAGTGCCACACTCTTCTACTGATTATTAATTATCTAAATTTTTATTTATGTGTGTGGATATTTCTCCTGAATGTATGGCTATGTACCAGGTGACTGCCTGGTGTCCTAAAAAGCCAGAAGAGGACATCCAGTCTCCTGTAACTGGAGTTACAGATAGTTGTGAACTGCCATGTGGGTGCTGGGAACAGAACCTGGGTCCTCTTCAAGAGCAGCCAGTGCTGTTAATTGCTGAGTCATACCTCTAGCCCCTATTATCACATCTTTTTAGAGACAGCGTCTTAGTGTGTATGCCAGGCAGTCCTCACTGCACCCAGCTTGAATATTATTTTAAAATAAATTTTAAAAATTAACTCTTGAAGGGTAGGGAGTTGAGATAGGGTTTCATGAAATCCATGTTGGCCTTAAACTCACACAGTTGAAGGTGACCTTGAACTTGTGATTCTCCTGCCTCCACTTCCTCTGTACTGGGATATGGGAGTGTATAGCTTTATTTCCTGCAAGTTTGACACAGAGGGGTGTCTTTCTGTCTTGTGACTGTAGGAAGGTTGGCTTCATGTCTGTAGGCAGTGAGATGTCTTCCTGTCTGGTGACTGTAGGCAGTGGGATGTCTTCCTGTCTGGTGGCTGTAGGCAGGGTTGGCTTCCTAGCTCTTTGGTACCTGTAACTGGCCTGCCTCCTGAGCAGCTACTGCACACGAATATCAGAGTCCTCCTTTGTACATGGCCACTGTCCATTTGCACACTGTCTTCCACGCTGTTTAGAACTCAGCCCCAACCCAGGAGCATTTTTGTTTGTTTGTTTTCTCTGAAGGACTTAGGTCTGCATTAGCTTTGAGCCCTGCTGCTCAACTGTTCTCACTTGGAGTGCTGCCCCACACTGCTCTGGGCCACCTCTCCTCATCATCACTAAGATGATGAAGGACAGTACTTGCAGAGCACTCAGCACTGACTCAGTGTTCCAAGCTACAAGCGTTGAAGATGTCTAGTGCTGCAGAGATGGGTCTTCCTGCAAAGCCCAGATTAGTTCCCCCAGGCCAGTGGAACTGACAGATGAGGAGCAAAGTCTCCAGGGCAGAAGCAGAATTTGAGACCCCAAGGGTGGGGTCTGCCCCCACCTCCTGCATACTGGGATTATGGGAGTGTATTGCTCATTCAACTTGGCAGCATTCTTGCTGAGGTAGACCCAGGCAATCAGACACCCAGGCTATGGAGGAAGAGCCTGGGCATTCCCTAGGGATTTAGACACAGGGTGGAACACCTGCTTGGTGGGGAGTCTTTTTCCAAGTTTAGCCTCAGCAGACTGAGGGCAGAGCCTGGGTGGGTAAGGCACAGCAGAAACCCTATCCAACAGCTCAAGGGCAGATTCTTTGTCCCATCCAGTTATCCCATGGAGGCTCCCCATGTTTGCAGAGGAGTTTGTGCATGGGACCTGGCTCTCTGGGGTTTCTAGGTGCTATTGAAACCCTTTCCTGGCCCTGGGGAGGGCGACCTGCTCCGCACCTGGCGATGGTGAGGCCTGTGCCCCATGGAGAGGGAAGTGTCCATTCTGTAATTGGGTGCCCTGGTCTTGCCCAGGCCTCAAGCTCTGTGTGGCCTCCTCCCCACAGGCCGTCAACACCCTTATTTGACCTGTTACAACATCGGTACCAGCAGCTGTGGGTTCAGGAACAGAAGGCTACTCAGCACGCCATCAAACTGGAGAAGAAGCAGAAGGTAGCCCTGCCCTTCTTCTGAGGGGCATCAGTGTGCGGTTGGGGCAGGAGCAGGGGTCCAGACACACCTTGATGCAATGCAATCCAAATCTGGGCTAGTCTCAGTAATGGTCTGGTGCAGTGTGTGCCTAATCCGAGATTGTGTAAAAGATGGCTGGACACCAGTCAGCAGGCCCTGTCACCTCTGAGCTGGGATTAAGAACCTGTCACATTGACTCTTACATAGAGACCATTCCCTGAACTTCCGCTTGACTTCCTGCAGAGGAGACTAGGCCTCACTTCCACCACCCTAGACAGACACCCTAGGCAGCCCAGCGCTGCCTATCATGACAAGGTAGAAAACCATCTCTACAAGGGTGTCTTTTATTTAGGAAACATTTTGTTATTTATTACTGAATAACCTCCTGAGTGACACATCTCAGACCGAGCACCAGGAGGCAGCACCCTTATCCTTCATCCTAGAAAGGGAAAGCTGTGCACAGAAGCCAGCTCAGCACAGAGAAGTGGGAGCCGAGACCCAAACTCCCCCAGGTGCTACTGATGTGTGTGCCATTAGCAACAGCGTGAGGTGAGACTTATACCAGAAAAACACTCCCAGCTTTTCTGTGTGCTGTCCTGTACATTTTCAAGTGCTCAAAGGCTCTTTCTTTAAGATATTCCAAACTTGAGACTTCGAGAAGGTTCATGCTGTCCCCTCAGCTGGTCCAGACTCATGATTGCCACATCAGAGTCTGCGCTTTTTAGGTTTCACTGGAAGCAGAAGCAGCATGACAGACTCTGTGCCAGCACCTGGGAGTTGGAGACAGAGGATCAGGAGTTCAGGGTCAGCCTCACCTGCCATAGCAAGTCAGAGGCCAGCATGGGCTGTGGGAGAGCCCCTGCACGAAAGGAGAACGAAACCAAACCAGTCAAACACTCAGGTCTCTGGTCCTGCACCAGTCACAGCCAACACTGGAGCCTTGCCTGAGGACTGGCAAGTACCCCTCAGTCCCGGACTCAGGCTTCCAGGATCCCCATCAGGTCAGCATCTTCCCCAAAGGATCTCAGTTTGCTTCAGGTCATGGAGAAACCAAGGGTCCAGAGACACGAAGCAACAAAGACCAGGAGAGGGGGCCGGGGCTCAGTTGGTAGAGTACTTAACCAGGAAAGACCTGAGTTTGGATTCCCAGCACCCACGTTAAAACCTGGGTGCCCAGTGCTGAGGAAGAAGGGGGGTCAACTAGGAAGCTCTAGGCTCAGGGAGACTCTGTCTAAAAATATAAGGTGAAGAGCAATTGAGGAAGGTATCAGCCACCGACCTCTGACATCCATAGGCATGTTGCAACCCCAACACACACACACACACACACACACACACACACACACACACACACACAGATGAAATGACTCTCCAGTGGCTTCTGACCAGATGCGTCTGGCCCAAGTGCAGTCTTTCTTTTCTTTTTCATAAGATTTGTTTATGCATTATTTATACGGTGTTCTGTCTGCATTTGTCCTTGTATGCCAGAAGAGGGCTCATTATAGATGGTTGTGAACCACCATGCGAAGCCTGGGAATCGAACTCGGGACCTTTGAAAGAGCAGGCAGTGCTCTTAACCTCTGAACCATCTCTCCAGACCCTGCAGGCTGGGCCCTCTTGAAGCTGGGGCTCTCGCTTGCTGATTACTTGAACACTAGGAGATCAGCCATACTGGGGTTTGGGGGAGCCTTCCCAGGATCATATAGCCTTTAGGGTATGTATCTCCGAGTGGTTTGGTGTTCATCAGAGGGCCCAGCACTGAAATGTTTCCAAAGTGGCCTGTGGTTAGTCTGCTAATACCTCAAGAGTCAATGCACATTTCAGGGGAGCATTACTGCCCCAAGCTACCTCACAGCTCCACAGGGGAGCCCCCCACTTTACTCAGCAGCTGGTTCCCAGCGGCTCAGATCCTCTCTGCGATTTCCAAAGCAAACACCCATGTTGAACCAGCCTAGGGGAGAAAAATATCTTCCCTTCCATCCATCCTGGGTTCATAGCTGAGGTCTGAGTACTACAATTGATGAACAGAGTGGCTAGAGAGATGGCTCAGGAGCTAAGAACACATACTGCTTTTCCAGAGGACTGGAGTTCGGTTCCCAGCTCCCATCTCTGGTGGCTCACAGTGACCGGTGATTCCAGCTGCAGAGGAATCAAGCACCTCTGGCACAGGCATGTATGCACGCACACACACATGTCCATACACATCCAGGTGTAAAGACACACCTGCAGAGGCCAGAGGTCAACACTGTCTTCCTCGATCACTCTCACTGGGGTTTTTCGATAGAGTCTCTCACTAAACTGGGAACTCACTGGTTCACTGTCTGCCCAGCCAGCCCTGGGATCTGCCTGCCTCCACTCCCAAAGCTGAGGTTACAGACACATGCCACCACAGCCAGCTTTCTAGGTGAGAACCCAAACCCAGCTCCTCACACTTGCCTGGCAAGCACTTTGCCTGATGAACTGTCTCCCCAGTCCCTATTCCAAGTCTTCGTAGGCACTGTGTTGTCCCGAGTATGGCCGTGAAGCTGCCAGGTGCTAGGGCCCCGTTGGAGATGATCTCAACTTCCCAGGCTTGAAAAGATGATCAGTTTCTCAGGCCAAACCCCCCACATCCTAGAGGAGGCCTGGCTCTGCCATAAGCCCACTGCTGAAGGGACACCCTGGCTCTTGGACAACAGTGACCTCAAATGAGGTTCTTGGTGACAGCTGCCAGTTAGTGAGCAGTGACCTTGGGCTGGCTATTCTGCTCAAAGCACCGTGGACAGCCCTGCAAGAACCATGCTGTCAGGCACTGGCACACCTTTTCTAGTCAGGGAAATGCAGCATTGGAGAGGACACAAGGCCGAGGCTGTTGCATTTCTAAGCCCAGCATGGCCACCTCTGACTAGACAGTCTCTCTGCCTGACTTAAAGTCTCAACCTTGTTCTAGAAGGCAGAGTGAATGTCCAGCTGACATGCTAGGAAGTGCCTCGTAGACACACATTAGCAGCACAGCTCAAGCACACGAATCTGTAGAGATAAAGCCTGTTTCCCTTCCTCCAGTTCCCTAGTTTTCACAGACGTTTGCTTCCACCTAGGTCACTTGAGCCAGGTAGGTCCTAGGGTTTTGCCCTTTTGGGCTAAAACAGTTAGAAGAGTTCCAGGAACGGGAAGGCCATTTTACAGCTTGGGCTCATTTGCTACAAATGGTGCCCTGAGATTTATAGAAACCTGTAGAATTCAGATCTAGGCCAGCAAAGGTTCAACCCCTAGCCTACCCGGGGCCTGTCCCCAGGGAACTGCCACACCAAAGACTGTAGGGAGCAAGGCAGTAAAGGAGCAAAGGAACAGGCTGGGGAGGTCCTCCTAGAGAGGCCTAGAGGGAACCCCATTGGTACCTGTGTCTTCCCACACCTCACTACTCCAGGAATGGCTCCAGCATCTCCCAGCTCTGCAGCTCCGAGATCACAGGGCCTGAAGGACTGATTTCCACTGATTCCCCACTCCTTGGCTACGGGTGGACACCCTTCACTGTGTCCTGACATGCTGAGGGTAGACCTCTTATCACCACGCCCTGTTCTAAGGGCTCCAGTAGTATTGGATCGAAACCCAGGCTTGACCCCATTTATCCTGTTACTGCTCATGAGCCTCATTTTCATAGTCACACAGAGATTAGGGCTGCACCCTCTGAGTTTGGAAGGGACACAGTCAGTCCCGGACAGACACCATGAACTACAAGACTGGCTGTGGACCTGCTGGTACCTGTTAGTGGGCATTGAACTCAGGTTCAGAAGAAATGGGCTTCCCCACATTTGACACCTACTAGAGACCTCCAAGACTCTAGATGTTCCCAAGTTCCCTCACTCGAAAGATGCCCCCTTCCTTCCTGCTGAACAGACCATCACAGGGACCTGCTCCGTGGGACAGTGACACCCTGATAAGTCATACATTTCTTTTCACAGATAGCAGGGCTTCCTGCTAACCATAGGAACTGTGTTAATTTTAGGGCAGAAGGTGGGCATGCTGGCGATTCCCTCCCAGCTGCTGCTCTGTGGTCAAACTAGAAACCAAAGCAACTGTGAACTGTACAGAGGATAGGGCAAGCGGGGCGGAGCTGTGAAGTGGCCTGGGAGAGAGATCAGAGCCTGCAGGAGGCTGACCCTCGAGACTGCCACCCTGCAATCCCAGCCCCCACTCCGGAGCACCATGGTCATTGCCCTGGTGTGTCAGTTGTCTTGTTGCTATGACATGTGTGACAAAATGACTTAAAGAGGGAAGGATGTCTTTTGGCTCTCTGTCTGAAGATACGTGTGTCCATCGTGGCGGAGAAGGCATGGAGGTGGGAGTTAGTTTGCATCAGTCAGGAAGCAGGGGGAGACGAATGCCTCTGCTCAGCTCACTTCCTTCCGCCGTTCGGTCCAGGACCCTAGTCTGCCACAGCAGTGCTCACGCTCAGCATGGGTCGTCCCTCCTCAGTTCGCCTAGTGCAGAAACTAGTCCACAGACCTGCTCCGAGACGGCTTGTTTTTGTGGTGATCCTGAAGCTCCAGTACCTTACCCTGTCTTCCGGCCCGCAGGTGATCCTGGGGAAGCTGTACGAGACGAGAAGCAGCCAGCTGCGGAAGTACAAGCCGCCCGTGAAGCTGGACATCCCCTGGCGCATACCTCACTTCCAGAAGGTGAGTGTCGCCTTCACCTGCCCAGCAACGCCAGTGCCGGTGCTGATGCCGCCTTGTCTGAGAGTTCTGTGGGCTTCTGACCCCTGATGCTCAGAACATAGCAGCAGGCGCAGCTGACATCTGGGAACCTTTCCTCCATCCAGGTTCTCCGCCCACTCATCAGAGCATCTGCTTTTCTTCTTAATGTGTGTGTGACGGGTGAGGTGGCCTGCACATGCGTGAGCAGTGTGTGAGGGGTGAGGTAGTGTGGACATGCACGTGTAGTGTGTGATGGGGTAGTGTGTGAGCCTGTGTACGTGTGTGAGTGAGGATGTCTGCTATGAGAACAACTTTGCGTATCTCTCCTGTCTTTCACCTGAGGCCAGGTGGACTCTCGTGTTGGTTGTACGGAAGGCTAGCTGGCCCAAACATCTGGGTGTTCCCCTATCTCCACTTTGCATCTCGCTGTCGTACACTGGCATTGCAGAGGCAGGCTATGGCACCTACTTCACATGGGTGCTGGGATCTGGACCCGGGGCCTCATGCTTGTGCAGCAAGCACTCTGCCCACTGAGCCATCCCATCAGCCCTCAGCTAAGACTCTTGATAAGCACCCATGGACAAACTGCTGAGATTGACCTGCTTCCTAGACAGGAAACATGAAGGATGCTGGGAAGAGGCAGAGTCTTGGGAGATCTCAGGTCATCTCAGCACAGAGCTGGGATGGCTGGCTACCCAGAAGTGGAGGCTGTCTGGGTAGAGAGCATCATTCTTGTGAGAGGCATAGTGTATCTTGTATGAGGAAGGTGCACGCAGATGGGAAACAAGTGTGTATTCTCACTGCCAGTCCTCCGGAATGATGGCACCCTGTTGAGAGGCAATGACCTTAGGTTCCTCACCTCCATCCCAAGTGGAGGGGGTTGCTGAATGAAGATGAGTTGGGGTGCAGGGGCCAGGCTGTGACCTTGCTCTTTCACCCATGTGGTCCTGTAACATCCACACAGAGACTCATGTTCAGCAATTTTTAGCAGGACGAGGGTAATGGAGAGCCAGGGGGTTAGCACTGTAGACTAAGGGAAACAGACGGACTGAAGATGCTGGGTCAGGACAAGAAGGAGGCTGCGTGGGCCGTGTGCTCAAGCCGGGCAGAAGGAACCTTTCTTGAAGGTCATGGGGGACATCCCTGTCCCTGTCAAGACAGCTGCACAAGCAGTATTCCCAGCCAGCCGGCCCGGCTGTGCTGCCTGGAACTGCAAGTGAGACAGTGAAGGGGCCGCTGCCTTCCTGAGCCTAATGCGCTTGAACAAGCTGCCGAGCTTCAGCGGGAAGGCTGCTTGGCCCGGCTGGATGTGGCCTCTTGTGTCCTGCCCAAGTGGCCTCCATCAACATATGTCAGTGACCATGTGCCCCGCTGCCCATCAGCCCAGGCCTCTGCTGAGCTCACAGCAAATGTCATGACCGAACACTGATCGAGAGGTGGCGGGAGTTGCCGCCACACTGCCTCTTCTTAGCACCTGTCAGCTCGGAGTCTCAACATCAACCCCCTCCCCCCTCTGCTTTCTCCATCTCTCACCATGTCCCACACAGATCTCTCTACTCAAATTCGGTTGGTCACAACCTCCTTGTAGGCTCCTCCCTGTTTCATTTCCTCCTTGGCCTTTTTTTCTATTATGCCAGTGGCCAAGTACATGCAGGCATCTGGGTGACATTGCCAGTGAGGCACCAGGACCCCCAGCGCCCATAGGCACAAGATGCCCTCCAGGTGCCCTTTATTTTTACTATGGCTGGCTCTGACAGGAGCTTGCAAGTAGATATGATTCGGTGCTTCAGTTTGCAAGAGAGGGGATTTGTCTTGGGATCTGGGGAGTTCTGCCACTCATCAGGACTTCTGAGGTATTGTTAGAGGTAGTTACCCAACAATGACAACTCTTCCTTGTGGCAGGCATTGTGTGTGCCTAATATGGAGTAGACGATGTCATTTTATCCTCAGAACAAACATCCCGACCCTGCCTTGCAGGTGAGATGTGGTTTTCTTAACAAAATCTCAATTGTTTGATTTTTTACCAATAAAGGCTAGAGGGCAGGATGCTGTGGTGAAAGCCTGGTGCTCAGGGAGGCAGAGAAAGCACCAAGCTGAACTTCCTTCTCAGCCAAAGTCCCTCCCTTTTACTTCCTGTGTGTCTCTCTATCCCTCCTCCTCTCTATGTTTTTTTTTTTTTCTTAATGAGCCTATATTCACTTCCTGACAAGTGGTTGCTTGCTCCACCTCTTGACCTATGGTTGACTTTGTCTAATCCTGTTCACAACATTCAAGCAGAAAGCTCTTAGATTAAAGGTGTGTGCTAGGGCTGAGCCACACCACAACAAGAAGTAGATTTTTTTCAAATAAATAACAATCTTGGGGTTCACAATGTGATCAAATATCCTGCAACAGAAGTAGGCCCAGTGCTTCTCCAGCCTCCCTAGAGCGGCTATCCTGGAACCTGGATTGTGCCTTTGTTGCTCATGTTGCTAACACAACAGCTGATAGATATTCTCCACCGATGAAATGAGCCAACTCAAGCTAAATCAAAGGATAAAGGCAGGTTTATTGGGGGCAGCTCTATGATGGGTTCACCGGTCCCAAGGAACGAGGCCAGGGAAGTTACCATACACAGGGAGATAGAAAAGCAGGGGGCAGAGAGAGAGAAAGTGGGCACAGAGACAGAAAAGAGAATCAAAATGTCTGGATTATATGGTGAAGAGCCTCTGGCGGAGAGGCACAACCCCTAGCCTGGAAAGTTCAGGTAGGGACTGAGGGATGCTGGGAAAACCTGGAGGACAGGTTCGATTTGGTTAAATAGGCACCTTAGCCTCTTGTTCTGGATCTGAATCCCAATGCTAACTACCTTATAAAGAGGAGCAGGGACAAGCCCAAGACTTTCCTGTGTGTCTGCCAAGGATGCCCCTAGGATCCTGCAAGTTAATGTCCAGTCACCCTGTCCAGTACGAGGTCCCTGAAACACCACATATGTGCCAGGTTCTTTGAGTGGGACTGCTCAAGAACAGTATCTGCCCAGCAGAGACCCTTCAACCCCTGAGAACTGCCAATACAGGACATAGGCCAACAGCAATATTGACCGAGCCTGCAGTATACACTAAGTGTTGGATAAGCACAATTTGTAGGTACCAGTACACCAGTGTGGATGCTGAGGATACAGCCACCTTAATCTTGGGGCTCCTGAGACTCCTCCCTGCCTCTGAAGCACCCCATCAGTCCTTCCTCATCACTAAGCGGTGCTGTGGGCCTCACTTTGATGAGCTTAGCAACTTGGCAGTCAGGTGATTAAGTGGACAGTCTTTCATCTTCCTCAATAAACGTGTAAGTCCACAAGAACCAGGCTTCAAGGCCCTAGCCATGTCCCCAGAGCTAAGCAGGGTGCCCAGCACAGGGGAGGTGGTGAGTAACCCCTGGAATGAATGGATGAATGAATGAGTAACCAGCCCAGACTGAACAAAGATTTTCAAAGCCTCTCACAGACACAGTGAAACCCTCCTACCCACACAGATGCCCCAGCGCTGCCATATCCCTGCCGCCAATGCGGAGGCTGTGCTCAGAAGGCGCGCCAGGGCCGGGTCAGGCTGCTGTTGTTTCATGGCACATGAAGCCCCAGGAGGGACTTTGTCTAGGTCGCATGTCACTGCTGATCTGCCGCCCCCACCCTGGCCCCATTATGATGGGAAAATGCACTTCCAAAAAAGTTGAGCCTGTCAAGGTGATGGATAACCTAAATGGACCCTCCCTGCTCACGAACAGATGTCGAGGCTGAACTCTGTCAGAAATAATTAAACACCTTTCACATGGAAAAGCAGCAGGCAGGGTGGGGCGTCCACCCCATGGCTGGGTCACTGTGTCAGACAGTGCTTTCTGCTCCCTCGAAGCCAGCCACAAGGGGCCCTGGGAAGACCCTTAGACTTCAGGATGAGAAGAGAGTGGTAAAGGAAGACAGGGGCACAGGCCTGTAGTGGGCCCGGCAGGCAGGGCCTCTGGTGGCCCTGGCTTCTCTCTGGTCTCTGTGTCCTGCAATTGTCAAGTGGTAGCAGTGCCAGGGTAGAGGGTTACCTGGCAGCTGGTTTGGGGCCTCGTAGCCAGGATGTTAATAATGTGAGGGCCCAGTTGAGACGCTTGGGCGTTGGCAGCCCCAATCTCTACATGCAAAAATGAGAGAGAAGGCTCAGGCCTGGGAGGCCTATTCTAGACCAAGACTCCACGGGTTTCCACTTACCTGACCACGGAGCCATTCAGGAAGCAGAGCAGAGACTTTTGGGAATGAAAGGCCCCAAACCATTAGGAAACTAGCTCAGACCCATTTTTGAGTTCTCGTATGGGGGACAGGAAATCATCATCTCCCGCAGAGCCACAGAGCTGACCCTCTCTACTCCCAGTGGGAGGCTCTGCAGTGTGAGCTGGGGGCCTTAGAGGCAGATAGAGGCCAGTGGCAGGGAAGTGGGGGTGGCCTGGTGTGGCATTTGTTTGGGCAAGAGAGCCTCCAGCACCAGTGAATCAATGGTGATGGTACCTTGCTCTGTCAGATACTGCCTGTCTAAGGCTCACATCCTTTTCTGTAAAATGTGCTAAGGAAGTTCTCTGCAGGGCACTCGGTTCACAGTAAGCCAACCATGCGTGCCCTGATATTGGAGGTGAGTGTTCATCCATCCATCCATCCATCCATCCATCCATCCATCCATCTACCTATCAATTCATTTACTCATCTATTTATTCACTCATGCATCCATACATTTCTTCCTTGACCACCTCCATGCCAGGCCCTGTTCTCTAACTTGAGGACACGGTGGTGAACAAGCCAGAACGACTTTGGCCTCCACTGCTGCCCCAGAGTTACCAGCCATTGAAGTAGTGCGAGATGGACAGAGATGTGACAAGACTGACAAATGGCAGAAACACAGGCAGATGGGGGAGTTTGGAGAGGCATCAACCTCAGTGACACGGCTCACTTAGCCAGCAGCCCCATATTTGGGAGG